GGCCACACAAAATATTGACAGTTGACATGTTGTATGTTAATATTGACAACTTTTCCTAAGGGGTGTACTCACTTTTGTTGCCAGGGATTTAGCTTTTAATGGCTATATTTTGAGTTATTTTGAAGGAAAAATAAATTAACTCTGTTATATATGCTACAGACAGGCTACTTTCATTGTGTCAAAGTGTCATTTTGTCAGTGTTGTCCCATGAAGAGATATACTTAAATATTTGAAGAAATGTGAGGGGTGTACTCACTTTTGTGATACACTGTATATATATGTGTGCGTGTGTATAAGGATGAAATTGATCATCTGAAAAGTTTTTTAACTTTGTTATAGATTTCCCTTATATATATATATATATATATACACACACAAACATATGTATATATGTTAGGGAAATCTATAACAAAGTAGAAAAACTTTTCACAGGATCAATTTCATCCTTTCAGACTTCATCTGGCTAAAAGAATGAAATGCGTTACATGAAAACCTTTTCCATTTTGTTATAGATTTCCCTAAAATTGTTCTTGATGTATAAAAATTTGCATATTGTTTTCCCATATGAGAAAGAACAGTAAGATTTATAATTTGGTGTTCTTATTAATTATTTTTATTTTTAAAAAACAGTGCTCAATACAATTCTGTAGACCCTGAACATTTTAAATTTACTAATTTAAAAATATGGTTTCATCGTTATACAGGAATTAAATTTCCCTGTAACCATGACAACTAATAATATCAAGATTGTATGTACTTATAAATGCAGTAAATTTCAAAATAAGTTATTCCAGAAATAACTTGAAAATGAATCAGAGATAAAGAATTTAAATTTAATTCTGAAATTAAATTTAAGTTTTAGTTTCTTTTTTGAAACATGGTAATTCCCGTGTACCGATGGAACCATATTTTTAAATTAGTAAATTTATAATATATGAGGTAATTTTGGATTTTTTTTTGCGCAATTTATATCCTCTTATTATAAATACATTGAGCTAATTTTGTGAATCAAATTTAATATTGGATATTACTAGGATCTACTTGGATTATATACCAATGGATTTACTACTTGTACTATATATATATATATATATATATATATATATATATATATATATATATATATATAGTAAAAGAGCAGATACTGTTTGGTGTGGCCTTGTTTGAAAGTGGAGACAAAGAAATTCTGCCTGCCAGAATGACACCACATTGATTCTTGAAAATGACTGAGATGGGCAAAAGTACATGGATTAAGCAATAACACAAACATGAACTTCAAACATTTTATCCACTATTTTGATCCCAATATAAAATAATTGTTTGAAAATTTAAAAAGTACAATAAAAAATTTAAATAGACATTGTTCCTTCTTTTTAAACATATAAGTGTAAAATCTAAAGATGCATGTGCTCTGACATGCTATTTTCACTGGTTTCCCGACTGCATGAAATTAAGTGTGCTCCTAGGTTGGCATCTCGATCCCAACCTTTTAGTGTTGAAAGAGTTAAATATAACTGCTTCTTCTACTCCAACAGCCTCTTTTGCACTTCCCGACAGTGGAACTCCCTTCCTCTTACTTGCTTCCCTGATAAGTATAATCTTCAAAAATCTAAATGTAATGCCAATCGACATCTGATGCCTTGATCCCTGGTCTTCCTTTTATCCTTTCCTCACCCCCCCCCCATACCTAATTTTTTCTCTTACTCTCACTCTCTGGAACCCATTGTGTACTAGTGGCACTCTCGCCTTGCTTGGGGTGAAATACTTTATATATATACTTGCATGTACATATATTTTTTTCTCAGGTGTTATATAACAGAGATATTAAGTATATATTAGTGAATATATATATATATATATATATATCCCACATCGATAGCAGTTTCATGCAAACATACAATCTTCAGTTGCAAAATTCTCACTGACCGTTATGGCATTATGCATTATATTAGAGCTGTTCATTTTTGAATATGTGCGTGTGTAAGTGTAAAAAAAAATTAAATACAGTAAATCTGTAAAAAACACAGTATGAATATAACAAAAGGAAAACTTATCTTTGCTGATGCATTTCATCCACTAAGGGAATTTGTCATGGCACCTGATGAGAAGAAGCTGGGATTAACATACATTGACAAAAATCATCGTTTATAGCTTTTCCAATTTGTCTCATAATCTCCACTTTTGTTTCAGACACTATTCTAGATCTTACAAACGCATACACACACACACACCCTCACATATATAGGGGGCAGCAAAATAACCCCCTTTTTTCATTTATTAACTTTTATTGAACTAAGAATAAATTAATTTTTTTAAGGAAATTTATAAGTATTAACACATCAAAAGATGATTTGTTATGATTAACACACTGTTTAACATGTCCAAAATGTTCCCCCTTCCAATAAAATGCTGAACCCTATCAGCAACACTTCTACAGATTATTTGATACATTTCTATATTAATTTCAGAAAATTTATCAGAAATTGCTTGTTTTAATTTAGGAGTTTTTTTTCGGCCTGTAGACAAGATCTTTCGGTCCCCATCCCTGAAGAAAAAGTCAGGTGATGGTCACTCACTTGTTCCATGTCATCCTATCCATCTAAGAATGAAAAAAGTATATATGAGATAACGATATATATTTTTATATGTTGTAGAGTAGTTTTCACAGTGGAGGCTTGTATTTCACTGAGTTGGTCCTAAAAAGGTTCAACGTACAAAACGTTAGGAACTTGAAATAATAGTTAATGACGCAGCAATTTAGTTGTGGTGGTTGATACTTTAATGTCCGACATTGATTGACTCACCAACTCACTGAGCCCCCTGGCGACTGCTACTACTACTACTACTACTTATTATCTGTGGGAGAGTCTATTAACAATAGAATAGGTGTCTTTCAGTATAACAATATATCATGAACAGTATTTGTGAAATTGTATGACAAAGTGGAAAAAGTTTACTTGTGACATCTTTCATCCTTACTTAGAGTTGTTACTAGATTACACACATCAACACAACATGATTTCTCATAATTAGCAAACTATTTAGCATATTCAAAATGCTCCCCCTTTATATTCAATACAATGCTTAACCCTATCAGCAACACTTTTACAGACCATTAGATACATTTCTCTATTAATTTCAGAAAGTTTATCAGAAATTGCTTGTTTTAATTCGGCAATTGTTTTCATTTTGAGCCTGTAAAAAAGATCTTTCTCTATGCCCACAAGAAAAAAGTCTGGTGATTGCAATGGCCACTCAATTGCTCCATGTCGTCCTAGCCACCTCTGCTTGAAATTAAGATTTGACTATTCCTAAACATGTAAGCCATAGTGGGGCACTGTGTCATCCGTTTGAAAGTAAATATCTTTATGATTTCTAAATCTCAGCCAGAATTCGGTTTGCAGTAAAGGAAGGGTCTTACTTTTGCCACACCCTGCATGCATGTATGTATGTATACATACATATATATACACATATTATGGAGGCTCAATGGAGTAATGGATATTGGTTCAAGTTGAGAAATCGGAGAGCTGAGTTCAAATTTCAGTTGAGTTCATTATATTCACTTATGTGCTAATACCTTTGGGAAAGGCATGAATCCATCTCTTTTCACTCCACCTATAGGTAAATAACAGGAGAGACTGGGTCCTATAACCTTGGGTGGCGAACAGTCTAGAAGAAGGACAAAAGCTGCGAAGGGTTGTTTGGGGACCTTGCGGCATACTGTGCACCAGGTCTCTGTATTCAGCTCTTCCAAAAAGTGTGGTTGGTTCTGCACAAGCCTTCACCACTATGACCAAATGATATTTGTGGGTAGTGTGACTGTTGATTCTAAGAACTGAGCTGCTTGACCCTCATACATTGAAAATGATAGGAGAGTTCAGTAGATACCAATTATAATTATATCTACTTATTGGTCGACTCATAACAAGCCCATTCATTACTTTATGCAAGAGAACAAATTTCCTTTCTGTATGGCCAATAGTTTCATTTATTGAAATCACTGTGCAAATGAAAAGAAACCTCAGAAATCAAATTGGACCTCAGCCACCCAACCATATGTGAAGTCAAAGAACAATTTTGTACTTGAAAAGAAACTCAATCTCAATCCATTTTCTTAGAAATTGCTTTTTAATTTTTTTTTTTTAATCAGTATCACTCCATGCAAGGCAGTAAAACCACTAAGAGAGGAGTTACAGCGTGTGGAAGAATTAAAAAGAGAAACATTAAGAGAATTAAAAAGAGAAACATTAAGCAGGAAGAGAAAAGAGTAATCAGGTGGACAGTAGATAGCGATTGGTATTGCATTTAAATTTTTGCAGATTGAAGTTGGCTGGAAAGCATGGAGCCAAAAAGAAGTTCCACAAGTCAGAAGTACGAGAAAAAAAATGTTAGCATGGAATTTATAGCTACATCTAGCCAGCTCAACTGTAAATTGATGATATCTCATCAACAGTCTAGTACTGTACTTAAATTTATAAAGTCTAGATACCATAGTGAAGGGCTCATAGAAACAATTACCATGAAAGTATTTATAGAAAGGACATAGAGGGGTAACCTTATGGTGGTGGGAAAGTGACTGAAGCCGAGTTGCCAGATAAAGGCCAGTAATATTGCTAATACTTCTTTGGATTTTATCAAGGAACTTAATGTAAATAGAAGTATTGGATCATATATGTCAGTAATATTCTAAACATGGGTGAATGGTAGACTTATAGATATGTAAATAAATATCTGTTTATTAATATATCAAATATATATTATTTATTATTATTATATATTATAAAATAATATATAAAATTAATTAAGAAAATAAAATAAATTGCTTTATTTGGCTAGAAACAGCATACTGTGATCTTTTGTGGCAAACTTGAATGACCTGAGTTCAACTTCAAATATCCTTAATTATTATTTTTTTTATCTGTGAAAAAACTGGATCTCTGGAACTTTGTTTGGCTGTGATATACGAACATGTAAGCATATAGACAAACTTTGGTATATTAATATAGATATTGGATTGAGAGGAAGCTGGCAGGGGCAGAAGCCTGTTGAGAGGAGGGAGTAACAGCAGCAGTGAACAATGTTTTTCTATGGGGAGGGAAAATGGTTGCCTTCGTGGATGGAAGTTGTGGTAAGAAAACTTATATGAATGAAAAATGTAGAAAGTCTGATGAATTTATGGAAGTGAGAAAATACTCTGAAAAAGAAAAGCAAAAGAATTTTGCTAAAAAATCCAAAGAAGAATCTATCTTTCACATTTATAAGTCTACCATTCATCCATGCATTGAATAATGCTGCGACATCTGGTCTGGTGCTTATTTGATATATTTAGAGATTCTTGATAAAATAGAAAAATCTGCAATGTTATTGGTCCTGATCTGGCATCTCAGCTTCAGTCACTTTCTTACCATCATAATGTAGCTTCCATGTGCTTTTTCTATAAATATTTTCATAGTAATTGTTCTTTGGTACCTAGACTTTATGAATTTAAGTGCAGTATGAGATTGGTGGCAAGATTTCATTATTTTACAGTTGAAATGGCTAGATGTAAGTGTAAGTTCTATGTTAACAGTTCCTTCTCTCACACTTCTCACTTGTGAAACACTTTTCCTGCTTTTTGCTTTAAAGTCAACTTTGATTTACAAAAATCAAAATGTAACCTCAATCGTTATCTTTGTCTTCTTAATTCCTGTTCTTTTATTGTCCTCTCTCCTTTATAAGATTTTACTTTTCCTTATATTCTTTCACACTCAGTAACTTCTTGTGTCTTAGTGGCTTTATTCCCTTGTTTGCAGTGGAATTATTAAGAAAGTATAAACATTATATTTAGTACAAAATATGTGACTTACAGTCATAAGAAATAATATTGGATTAAACAATCCATTCTTGATAATTAAATCTATGATCAATATAATACGAGATATGATATGCAACTTAATCTAATAGTGGCTCATTTGGTGCTAAAAAAGCTTTGAGTGAGTAAAGCCTGAGTGTCTTAGCAAAGATCATCCTTCTTTGAACCTTGTGGACTGGTGCTACACAATCATAAACAAAGAACTATACCAAGTAACAGGAACCACATCTTGAGGACTTTCAAAGCAGCAACAACTAAAATGGATATCACATGGAAGTCAAAAAGAAAATAATGAAGCCTGAGTGTCAAAAATCATCCTTCTTTGAACCTTGTGGACTGGTGCTACAGAATCATAAACAAAGAACTGTACCAAATAACAGAAACCACATCACTTGAGGACTTTCAACAAACAACTAAAATGGATATCACATGGAACATTCTTCTTTGAACCTTGGGACTGGTGCTATCACAAACAAAGAACTTAAGAGAAACCACATCACTTGAGGACTTTCAAATAGCAGCAACAACTAAAATGGATATCACATGTAAGTCAAAGAGAAAATAATGAAGCCTGAGTGTCTTGGCAAGATCATTCTTCTTTGAACCTTGTGGACTGGTGCTACAGAATCACAAACAAAGAACTATACCAAATAACAGAAACCACATCACTTGAGGACTTTCAACAGCAGAAACAGCCAAAATGGATATCACATCTAACTCAAAGAGAAAATAATGATATAATCAAAACGTTGATGTTCCACACTACTTTGAACAATAAGTTAGGAAGGAAATCTCCCATCAATACTGGAAAGGGTGATAACAGATACTGGGATTGAGAAACCTGTTTTCCTAAAAAAATTCTTTTAAGAGAAAGATTTTATAAATTTCAACTGAAAGTAGTACTAGTTGCTGGAAAAGACTAATATTAATCATTCACTTTAAAAAACTTGAGAGCAACTCAAAGTAGAGGGATACTGAATGATGTGTGTGATATGAATGTAAGAGGAGGAAGTAGGAACTGAAGATTATGAGGATGAGGAGGATAGATAATTTTTGAGAGGTGAAAATTGTAGTGTTTGGGTATACATCCATGCAGGTGTGTGTTCCACAAAGTTGCAATTCTTGGGAAGAAGATGAGTAGAACTTCCTTCTTAATAATGGAATATGAAGGGAATGAGGTTGATTCAACTCTGTGGATACAACAAGACATGTTCTGGCTGTAAAGGTTTGAACTGATGCAGTAAATGAAAGTGAAAACAGAAAATATTAAGGTATATGAATGGATTAATAAAAATAAAAGCAGATAAAAGAGATAAGGATGAGATCAAAAATAGGACAAAAGCAGGTATTGTAAGAAAGAATGAAGAGGAGAAAAGAAAAACAAAGAATTAATATAGACACTAAAGGGTTCTGGAATGCAATGGAAGGAGAGAGAGAGAGAGAGAGAGCTTTTTTAAAGGATAAGCAGATAATGAAATAAGTAAGAAAGCAAGAAAAGAGATTCTGAAAAAGCAGGAGAGAGAAAGAATTGAAATTAGGAGACAGAAAGAAAGAATAGACTTTGGAAGAGAAAGGGTGAGAGAAGAAGAGAGCAAAAGAAAAGAAAGAAAAAACAGATTTTTGAATGAGAGAGACAAAAAAATAAGAAAAAGAAGTATAAAAAGACCAGAGTTTAGAACCAAAAACAAGAGGGAAGGAGAGAGAGCAAAAGAAGAAAGAAAAGGTTTTCAAATCAAAAATTAGGAGAAAGAAAAAGAAGTGAATAGAAAAAACATAGCTAGAGAGAAGGAGGGAGAAGGAGAGGAGAGAGAAAGAGAGGAAGCAGAAATAAAATGTTTTAGAATGGAGATGAGAGAGAGAAGTAATGAAAAGTTTTAAAGTAGTGAAGTGTAGGGAGAGAAAGGAAATTCAGGAAAATGTAGGAGGGAGAGAGAGAGAGAGAGAGAGAAAATAAGAAATTAAGAAAAATAATTAAAATGATGCCATAAAAATAACCTGAAATGTTAAAAAAGAAAGGATATATAAAAAAAAAGAATGAAAAAACTGAACATGTTAATAAAAAAAAAAAGACGAAAACCAAAAACAATAAGAGTGAAGAAAAAAATGAATGAAAAAGAAAAAAATGAATGATAATGAAAGAATAGATATAAATAAACATAAAGAATCTTTTAAATACAAAAGAAAATACAATATAAATATGGAGGAAAGAAATCAAATTGACTGTTATTGAATTTTCTGCCATCTTTGTCGTAAGATGTTTCTACCAAAAATCTGTCTTGCTAATCAAATTTTTGGATGAAATACATTGTAGGAAACTATTTCTTCAAAGAAACAAAATTATTAGTGGAGAGGATGAATTGCAATGGGTCTTTCTCTTATTGTGATTGAATCCTATCATTATTGATGTTGTATAAAACGATTTTTCTGATTACTTGGCTCATAACAAAACCTATTATCTGACAGTATTGTGTCTCATTCAGTTTTGCTTTTCTTAATGTTTCTCCTTTTTAGTGTTTCTAAAGTACTTCTGACAGATTCTGCAGACAATAAAGGAGAGTTAGTACTTTCAGTTTTGGTCTTTGTTGGCAACAGTGTTAAAAATGGCTTCAAGTGAATGAATTCTGTAGGTCTTAAAGAAGATAATTCTTCATTACATGTTGAACACTGGTACTATAGAATCACAAACAAATATCTTTATCCAATAACAAAAAACACATCATGTGAAGACTTGAAAAATAAAAATGCACATGTCGCTAGAAGGAAAATAATGACATAATTAAGATGTTGACTTTCCACAGAATCTTAAACAAAAGATTAGGAAGGAAGCCCTCATCAATACTGGAAAGAGCAATAACAGTGGACTTTCAATTTTCTTGAAAAGTCGTCTTAAAAGAAAGTTAACCAGTAAAATTCAGCTTTGGTCAATGAATGCCTGTTGTTTCCTGTATGGAAACGGTTGATTTCACCATTGCTATTAACATTACTGTGTTTGTCTTGGTCTGGTTTTTGCATGTCTGCACATTGAGAGTGCACTGCCGACTGAGAAAAAATTGGTGTTATATAGTTCACCCAGTCCCAAACCCACACTGACTATTGGCTAATACCTGACCAGTATTGTTCATATGCAAACAGTCAGTGACACCTACTCTAAGTAGAATGTCTTCTCTCAACAGCCCATTATAGAAGAGGACATACCTCCTGGTGTTTACAGCAACACATGCAACCAACTCGGAGTCTCTTATTGGGTTGACCCAATTCTCTGTTACAATTACCATATACTGAAAAACAAATACCATTATGTTTTTACTTTTTATATATTTCTTTAATTCATTGCCCCTTGCTAGTATTTTAAAGTTGATTATATTTAAATTTTCTACATGCTAATAGCTAAGAATGATAACTAAGTGAACAGAGTTCAAATTCCAGTTGAATTGCACTCACTTTCATACAAATATTTTTGGGAAAATTATGAATCCATCTCTTCTCCCCACTAGCTGTAGGTAAAATAGCAGAGCAATCTGTGATTTCTGACCATGATTCATACCAGTGAATAGGAATACCAGATGCTGTAAACTTGGATGTGTGTGTGGTGTAATGGATAATGGAGCGAAATTGGAGATCGAACAACTGGGTTCCAATTCCAGTCAGGTTCGTCATATTCATTTATGCACAAATAACCTTGGGAAAGGTATGAATCCACCTCTTCTCCCCCAGATATGGGTTAATTAGTAGGATTTGTATCAGTAAAATTATCTCAAAAAAATTCTTACAGTGTAAAAATATTTTCTGGTTTTAAATCACCTGCAAAAAGTTGATAAGCCATAAAAAAGAGATCAATCAAAAATAAAACATATTGTTGAAATATGTAATTACTTTTCATACACCCTAATAGAAGATGCGATAGACTAATTTTACATGCAGTTTTCTACCATTCAGCTATAGTTCTTCTTTGATTGGTTGACTCATAATTCATATTTACAAGTTCTGTAACTTATAAGGATCATAGGAGCACCACATGTACAGCAGCCATAGCAACAGTGATGTGTCTAGAGCAAGATAACCTGATGGAATCCAACCATCTTTAGGTTGATTTGCATTCAAACTTTTCCTTCTCCTAAACTGGTTATCAACCAAGCCTATAGGGTCCAATGTTTTCCTTCTCTTAGACTAGTTGCCAACCAAAGCTATAGGACACAATAGAAGAAGGACCTGAGAAGAGAGATTTTCATATCACTCCCAAGGCTCTCTGAGCATAAATAGATGTTTTTTTTTTGTATTGATTCATTTTTTACATCTTATCAATCCTTTACAGGTTATTTAAAGATTTTGTTGGTTATTTTTTAAATAATAATGGTTTAGTGATACAAATCTTACTAATTAACCCATAGGTGGGGGACAAGAGACAAATTCATACCTTTCTTAATAGTATTTGCATACAAGTGAATATAATGTCATGAAAGTATTCTTTCGTATTGGTTGGTTGGTTTTGTTTAGCAACTTAGCAAAACCTTTATGAGTTACTTAATGCTGAAATTTAAATATTCTGAATACCATTTTATGGCTTCAACTAAATATAGTTTGAATGCAGTTATATACTTTCAACTACTGGTAAAATGTATTGTTGGTCATTTTACTATAAATTTTTCTTGTTGGTCCTTTTTTATATAAAAATGTATTGCTTGTATTTTTATACTTTCATAGCTGGGACCCTAACAGGTGCTACCACCCCAGGTCAGGAATTAAGAGGAGGTTCCACACTCCTCAAAACCTTCAATCTCTCGATCAGAGGCCTTGCTGCTGGATGTAGTTTATTGTCATACCCAGCACCGTCCATGTTTGAGTAGATGCTCTGTTTATTTATTAAATGGTACATTTATTTATTTTTGTCTACCAGCCTGCATATTGAAGAAATCTTATTAAAGAAAAAGATGCACTCTCTAGCAGGATAAAATTCAAATAAAATCTGTCAAATTAATAAATAAAAAATCCATTAGTTCTTAAAAAAATTGCTTTGTTGACATTCAAATATGAAACTGAGCAGATACAAACTTTTGAGAATCTGTGAAGGATTTGCACTTATAAGGCATTATTTGGTTTCGCTTAATTGATGAGAGCCTTCATGGCCAAGTTGACCTTAAGCATGTTGGATCTAACAATGGTTTCTCTTGTAGGTTTGAATCCTGTTCACATCTTTTACTTTCATAAAACTTTTGAATATTCAAGCCAGTAGACAAAAATAAACAATATTTAATAAATATATGGAACGTCTACTCAAATATGAATATCCACTGAAAATAATGTTTAGAGTAATAAAATATGAAATTTAATAAAAACTGACTTCTCGTTTAGTATTAAAAAAAACAGGTTTATGACAAGAAACCTAATTAAAAACACAATTTTATGTCTGATTGAGACTGTTGTATAGTTCCTGGTTGATCACTGCATCAATTAATACAATGTTGTATTCTTCTCTCTCACAGCTGGTGAGTTTGTGTTCAGAGATAAGATATCAACAAAGGGAATTTTAATCTTAACTAGTTTATTAATGTTGACCTATACATCTCTAACTATCCAGTAGGGTTGCTCTCTCACCCTACTAGGAAGCTGCTTCCAGACATGACAGAGAACACGCCTACATTGCTTGAAAACCCTTTCCCTATCTATCATTCCCATGGTAGTTCAGCCAAGCAAAACTGACTTCCTTTATTTTGTCTTGTATCTGACCTCAAAGGTCAACCCCAGGAAGTCAGAGTAGTGATACACTTCCCTAAAAAATAATAGTCGGCTAAACTATTATTTAACAAGACATGAGCACATTATCTCTGAAATTTACAATCATATAAGAAAAGATGTCTGGTCAAAGTTTTGCTCATTTTACTGCTTTTTTCTGGAGTCTACTTGTAAGTTGGCATCTGTCTGAAACTCTTCACAATCACTTGATGTGTTCATCATTGTCTCTTTTCCTTTTTTTTTTATTCTCTGTATACTTGAATGATTGTAAAAAAACAAAAAAAAAAAAAAACAAAAGCAGAGAGAACAAGGTACTTGTCATATCAACAAAAACATCATAAATGGCTTGCATGCTTACCAAGATCAGACAAAGTAGTGGCATACAACCCTCAGGGTAAGCAAGAAAAGAAAAAAAAGCAAGAACTACTTAAGATTTAGAAATAAAGAATGAATAAATAAAGAATAGCAAACTGTGTTATTAATATTTGTAGGATCAACAGAAATTCCATGGTGAATTTTTACAACTAAAAATAGTCAAGTCCCACAATGCTCAGTATATTCCATATATATAAAATGAAATGCATATCTATCTATCTATCTATCTATCTATAGTCATCTACAGACAGACTATTTCACTGTATCACAGCTCATCAGTGTGGCTAGATATGTGATTGTTTGAAGCCGAGATTGAAACTGGACTGATTTGACATCAATTAGAGACTCTCACTCCTAAGCCATCAGCACACACTTGAGAAAAATGAAATTTTTAATGTATTATATACAACATATAAGCATTACCGACTGTCAGAGGGCCTAATTCATAGTAAAGAGCTTAGCATTAATTAGCAGCAGACAAATTCCCTTTCTTCCAAAGTGTTCAACCCATGAAAGGGAGTGTATATATATATATATATATATATATAAGAAAATTATTGAGGAAATTCGAAGACAAAATGGAAAAAGTTTATTTGTGATGCATTTCATCTGTTACAACTTCATTGAACTGGGTTTGTTCATGTTGTTGAAACTACAGATGCACAAGAATGAGAGATGCTGGTAATAAGTTTAAATAAGAGATTATATGGACACAAAAGAGACATTTTAAAAATGCAGCACACAAAACATTGGTTGTTCACTGTAATGAAACTGACCATAATTTTGACATCAAAAATGTTACTCTAATTAAAAGAAAAAATAATTCACTAATAAAAATATGTCTAGAAAGTGCTTTAGTCTTGCTTGTTCGTCCACAGTAAATTTACATCCAGGTTCTTACAGCATATCACCATTATTGACACATTTTCTGTTATCACAATATGGGTTATTTAAAAACAAAGAGGATGAAAAGAAAAAGAATATAGATGAATTTGGCTAGATTACAAAAAATTATTTTAAAAAATGTTGAAACTACCAGCATCTCTCATTCATATGTATGTATAGTCACAACAATAACATCAACAAACCAAGTAATTTTTAAATCCTTAAAAAAGGCTCTCAATTCAATTAAAAATA